CTCACCTGGTCTTTGGACAGCCGGGCTCAGCTCATTCTCTTGTTTCTCTTCAGTGTTGTGTGATCCTGAAACTCCCCAAATGATCACCGAAAAAGAACGAGACGAGGTGGCCAGCCCAGCACTATGTGACAGAGAAGGTAATTGTGATTTCAATTCCCGCTTCATGAATGGAATCTTTATTTTTTATGTTTTTCACCTCTTTTCTTCTCTTCTCCTATCTCGATTTCCTTCACATACCCCTACAGAAGAAATGTGTAGATCGAGTGGAAAGGATGTGATAATAGTGACAGCAACCATGTTGTCCTCCAGATCAGGTGAACTAAAATGAAAAAGGTCTAGGGGCAGGGACATCCCAGTAGGAGATACTTGAGCCTCCTTGGTCTTCCTGGTTATCTCAGGGTGAGCTTCCTGTGTGTCTTGTTTATTGCCTATAGATCTTGAATCATGAATAGTCTAGATGTTCTAATGTTCACACTATTTATAAATTGATCATGTGAAAAAGAATTTTCCAGGATTTCTAAAGTTAGTTCTTATTTAGGACATTTAATCTTACAGTTTCATTTGCAGAATAGATCCCAATTCATTAAACATAAAGAAGGTTTTGTGTTGTTTGTTTGTTTGTTTAAGAAAGAAAGTGTTAGATAATGATTGGGAACTGGCAAATTTTGGCATTTTTCTCTTCTTTCATTGAAATACTATCAAATGTATTCTTTTCTTTTTGGGAAGCATGTGGTTTAGGAATAGCAGACTTTCAGATGCAGAAGAGATTATGAATAAGTTAGCTTTTAGTCATAGACACAGGGTTTCTGGAGTGTGGCTGTTGCCAATTGGCCTATTTTGAGAAGTGTAAGGCTGCCATTGATTGGTCTGTTTAAATGTGGTTAATGATGTAAGTAATCATTGGCCAATTGGGTTGAGTTTAAAAATGATCCTGGTAGTTGTTGCAATTTTCAAAGAATAAATAGCTTGAATCTAGAAGACTACAATGTTTTAATTTTATTCTTAGGGCTACATATAGTAAAATAAAAGTAGAGGAAGCTGAGTGAGGTGGGAAAGATGGGAAAGGCATGGCTCTACGGCACCACGAGTTGATTATTGGAGCAGGTATATTTTTCCGAGGAAGCAGTTCATCTTAGCTTAAAGTATAATGTAGCATGAGAGCCCCAGGAACTCTTCCCCTTCACTGTCTCAGGATCCATGGACAGTAATTTTCTTGTTTCTCTTTAGTGTCTGTTGGAATAGAAGCTCTCCAAAGGGATAGAGAAGGAGAATCAGAAGAGCTTCCCTCTAGCCCTCTACCCTGTGATGGACAAGGTAATTATGACTGAAAAATTATAAAAACAGAAACCAAGTTCTCATAAAGAGAAAAAGCAAGAGAAGAAAAAAGAGAGACTTAAAGGAAGAGACAGATATCAAGAATTGTCTAGACCTATAAGAGGATGTGACCTTTGTATTGGATTAGAGAGAATGTACAAATGAACTCTTTATGGTCTTTTTTAAGACTTGGAAAATGAATGTTTTAGTTTTTTATTGCTGTATAACAAATCACCAAAAACTTAGTAAATTAACAGAAGACTAATATATGATGTCACAGTTCTGTGGGTTGCATGTATTGATGATTTCAACACAGTTCTCCGATAGGGTCTCACATGGAGGAAATCAAGATGTAAGCCAGCCTGCATTCTTATTGAAGACTCTGGGGGAGATTTATCCAAGTTGTTGCCAGAATCCAGTTCCTTGTGGTTGTAGGACTGAGGTCCCATTTTTATTGCGAATGGCTGAATAGGGATTATTCTTAGCTCCTAGGGGCCACTCACTTTCCTTGGTATATGACCCCACATCTTCAATCCAGCAATAGCTTGTAGAATTTTTCTCAATCCTTCTCAATCTTCTTTGAATCTGGCATCTTCTTTTGATTCCATGTGGAGAAAAAAAACACTCTGCATTTAAAGGTTCATGTAATTAAAATAAGCCAACCATGACAATCTTCTTTACTTTATTTGTTGATGCTCAAAAAGTTATTTTTTCCTCTCAGTTTTATTAGATACAATTGAAACAATGTACTATATAAGACTGAGGTGTACAGCATAATGACTCAATTTATATTATTGTGAAATTACCACAAAAAGTTGAGTTAACATCCATCATCTCATATAGCCACAAACACACATGCACACACGCAGACACACATGCACACACACACACACACACACACACACACACACACACACACACATGAACACACAAGTTTTATTTCTGTCATGAGAGCTTTTACAATATGCTCTCTTAGCAACTTTGAAATATTCTATATAGCAGTATGAACTATAGTTATCACATTGTACATTACATTTTTAGTACTCATTTATCTTATAACTGAAAGTATGTACGTTTTGACAACCTTCATCCAATTCCCACACCACCACCCCCATTCCCCACTTCTGGTAACCACGCATCTAATTTTTCTTTTTAATGAGTTTGGTTTTTGTTTGTTTGTTTGTTTGATTGATTGATTTAATATTCCACATTAGAATGAGATCATGCAGTATTTGTCTTTATGTGATTTATTTCACTTATAATGCCCTCATTTTCATTAATGGCAGGATTTCCTTCTTTCTCATGAACAAATAGCATTCCATGGCATATACAATTTTTTTATTCATTCATCTGTTGATGGGTATTTAGGTTGCTTCTGTGTCTTGGCTATTGTAAACAATGCTGCAATAAAAATGGGGGTGTTAATATCTCCTTGTCAGAGTTATGTTGTTTTCTTTGGATATATATCCAGAAGTAGAATTGCTACATCATATGGTAGTTCTATTTTTAATTTTTTGAGAAAACTCCTTACTCTTTCCTACAGTGACTCTACCAATTTACAGCCTCACATAGAGGTCTCAAGAGTTCCCTTTTCTCCACATCCTTACCAATACTGGTTATCTCTTTTCTTGATAATCTATTTTGCTTAACCTCACTTCTGTATTACAACATAACGTAAAAATGGGGGTAATATCATGATATTCATGTTCCCTGAGGTTAAGAAAGGAAATCTTAAAGGGTCAACTTAGAATTTTGCCTACCACAAAGAGGTTTAAGTAAATCTCTAGGATATAACTGTTCAGATGAGCCATTGATTTTTCCTAGCAAATAATATAGACTATCCTTATCAACTGGAACATCAAACAAAGCTGAGCATAAATGCATTTAAGAAAAGACTTGTTTTTAGAGAAAATGTAGTAATTAGGTTAGGCACTACAAGAAAAAGAAGTATGCCTATTTTATTTATTGCCTGCAGATCTTGAATCATGCATAGTGTAGGTATACTTATGTACAGATCAACTATAAATTGATCATGTGTAAAAACTTTTTTCAGAAATTCTGAAACTAGTTCTGTGGCACATTTAATCTGCTAGTTTCACTTGAAGAATACATCCCTACCTGTTAAATAGGTAGGGTTTTTTTTTGTTTGTTTGATTTTTTAAGAAAGAAAGTGTTAAATAATGGTCTAAAAGTAAGTTACTGGTTGAGAAATGGTAATGTTTAGATATTTTCCTCTCTCTTTTAATAAAAATTCTATGAAATGTATTCTTTCCTTTTGATGTGTCAAAAGTTCCCCATTGAAACCTAAAGTCATCTTTTGCGAAATTTGGCCACTTATTAAGAGAAGTGCAAAAGGTAGAATCATACTGAGAGTACAAAGAGGAAGTAGAATTCTGCCCGGGTAGACTGTACCTTTGTTCCATACAAGTCCGTGACAAACAGTAAAGAGGACAGAACATTCAGTCGTAAGTGTAATAGTGTCTTGGGTGTGAAGGGAGTACTGGGTTTCATCCACGCAGCAGAGACTAAAATGTGGACATGTGATCAATTCCATAGTAATAGTTGACATCGGATGATGTACCTAACAACGTGATTTTCTTTCACAAGTTGACACGATGTCAGGTTTCTTTATGAAGGTTTTGGTGAGGGACTCACCACAAAGTGTGACCGAATGCCTTTGCACAATTTGCTACTATCGAATGGACCCACACCCATTAATTAGTCTTTGGAGCTGACTTGGACAGGGGACTTATGAGGTCTATGCCTGAATCTGTTTTCTTTGGATTGTTTTCTTCTAACATTCAAGAAGCACAGGAAAATCAGGAACAAACAAATAAACATGAGACAAGACTTTTAAAAAACAGACAAAAGAGAATGAGAGTAAATGAAGTAGTAAAAGAATAAGCACATTAACAGAATATTTGCTAAATGCTGTACCTCCAAACTAAGTGTCTAACTACTTTGTATCTAACTGCATACACATCTTTAAATAATCAGATAAATTCAGATATAAAAGTTCATGAAATACATCAGAGCTCAAGTTGTTGTTGAGACAGATTCAGTTGGCAGTGGATCAGGAAGACAATCTGAGTTGGGCACAAGAAGCTGGGGATTTATACCTGTTGGTCTAAGGATCTCACAGGACACCTCTATGCAAGATTCTTTGTGATTATCTTGGTGGGCACTCTATTTTCAAGGGATAGCTCATCACACAATAGCTGAAGCTAAAAGAAATTTTTATTGCTTGCTTAGCAAGGCACATGGTGGGAGGAGGCACTATACTTATTGGACCTAATTTCTTTAAAAATAAAAACTACTAATTTACATAGATTTTTGGGAAGCATGCGGTTTAGTCACTGTAACTTTCAGAAACAGATGTTATTATGAGTAGGTTAGCATTTAATCATGGAAACAGGCTTATTGGAGAGTGGCTTTTGCTGATTGTCTGATTTTCAGAAGTGTAAGGCTACCATTGATTGACTTGTTTAAATATGGTTAATGATGTAAGTATTCATTGGCCAACTAAGAGAAGTTTAAAAGTGATCCCGGTAGTTACTTGTTATAATTTTCAAAGAACGAGTAGTTTGATCCTAGAAGAGTAAGATCTTTTCATTTTATTCTTAGGGCTGCAAGTAGAAAAGTAAAAGTAAAGGAAGCAGAATGAGGTGTAAAAGATGGGTAAAGCTTGGCTCTGTAAGACCTCGGGTTGATTATTGGAGCAGGTATATTTTTCCAAGGAAGCCATTCATCTTAGCTCAAAGGATAGATGTGTAGCATTAGAGCCCCAAGAACTCTTCCCCTTCACTGTCTCAGGATCCACGGACAGTAATTTTCTTGTTTCTCTTTAGTGTCTGGCAGAGTAGATGCTCTCCAAATGGATATAGAAGAAGAATCAGAAGAGCTTCCCTCTAGCCTACTACCCTGTAATGGACAAGGTAATTATGACCAAAAATTTATAAAAAGATGAACCGAGTTATCATAAAGAGAAAAAGACAAGAGAAGAAAAAAGAGAGACTTGAAGGGAGAGATATAGGGAGGATCAATAAAAGATTTTAGAGGAATTCACAAAATGGGGATGTGCAAAATTATAGAAAAGAGGATCATAGGGACTAATGAAATGTTTTCATAAACCACAATTTTGTTTCAGGCACAGAGCAACCAGTAGGTGGGAATGAGAAGTATTCCAATGTTATGAGCTTCTCTAAAGACATTCCAGAATGTACTGAAGCAAGGACTGAAAGTAGCCGAGCATGTGACACAACAGCTAAGGCTGTGTGAGGGTCAAGGGATAAGCATGGATTCACTGGTACCACAGACTCTGGGTAGGGTTGTGGCATGTGGTCCAGTCCATCTTATTACCCTGTTCTCTGCATGTACTCCACCTGACCATTTTGGGAATAGCATGGAGTCAAGATATTATTAAAACATCGTATTTAAAGGATCGACCCTCTTGATTATACATGAATGATGAAGTAGAAGTACACTCTTACATTCGCAGTGTCTTGTTTACTACATCAGTATATTAGTAATAACGTTTGTATTTGTACCGTGATTTCTTTCCCTGTGATATCCAATAATTCTTGGAATCTGAAAGAAGCAGAGTGCACTTCTGCTAGTAGATCACAGTGTCATTTTGTCAAAACCTTAGAAAGGCCTCAAAAGACAAGTGATCCTCCCACTTAATTGTTAGAGGGAAAATTTCAGATCAACTACTCTTAACACAGTAGATGTTTCTGATAGATGTCCTGCAGCCTGTCACTAATTCCCCCATGTTTTCCTACAAACTTTTGCACATAAGATCTTATTTAATTTTTTCACAAAAAATCCTAACCGTGACCATGACAGGATACCTATTCCTATCCATGACTCAATCAAAAATGTAGGTGTTTGAGAGTGTTTTTCGAAGTCCCATTGAGAAATATCAAAGTCCTAGGACCCATTCTGGATCCCTACTTCTCAGTTCAGTAAGTTTTTAGCTCCTTTAGAAAAAAGTGAGAAACAATAATCTAAACATCTTTATAAACTCAAGCCTCTGTAGCATGAATCATCCCAGGATTTGAAATTTTTATTAATTTCTTTTAGTTTTTTTCACCATCTCCTATTATTTTCTAGAAACTGTGGACCTTGGAAACAACTCTACTTTGGGAAAACCCAAGAGGAAAAGAGGTAAGGTGCATAAGATTTTACTTGCTTTTGATGTTAAAGTAGTTATTTTAATGCATCTTTTCAATAATATGAAAGATGTCTGCATCCTAATCTCTGGAACCTGTAAGGTGTTATCTTCCATGACAAAAGGATTTTACAAATACAATTCAGGTAGGTACCTTGAAAGGGGAGATTATTTTGGATAGCTGTGTGCAACCAATGTATGAACAGACCTTAAAAACTGGACAGCTGTTTCTGAGCAAGAAGTGAAATGGACGATACTCACTGAGAGATACAATATTTTGTCTTTGAAGATAGAAGAAAGAAGCAAAGAATATCATGACCTCTAGAAGCTAGAAAGTCAAAGAACTAGATTCTCCTCCACAGCCTCCAGAAGGGAATGAAGGCCAACTGAGACCTTCACCTTATCCCAGAGAGACCCTTTTCAGGCTTGTAACCAACATTAACTGTAAGATAATAAGTTTACATTGTTTTAAGCCACTAAATTTGTGGTTAATTTTTATGGCAGCAATAAGTTATTACAGAAGAGTAACGCAGATTTTGGTTATTAAAAGTAAAGGTCAACTGTGACACACTCCTATAAATGTGGAAGTGGCTTTGGCATTGGATATGGGCTGAGGGAAATTGGGCAAGGGAAAGAATTTTAAGTAGAACGATAGGAAATGTTACATGGCCTCGAGCAGTTAGTTAGAGACGTGGTGCAAAGACTGCTAGTGAGGGCTCAGGGGGAGGTAAAAACTAGCGGGGGACAAAAACTATGTTGTCTTAGAGACTTCATACTTCATGCTGAACAGATGTCAGTAGATATGTGTAGGTTGAAGGTGAGGCTGATGAGAACTGAGAAGTAAATAAGGAAAATGTATTTGGAAACTGGAAGAAAGGAGATCCCTATTACATAGTGGCAGAAAGCTTAGTGGAATTCTGTCCTTTCAATAGGTGGAAAGCAGAACTTTCTGGATATATAATAAGGAGATTAATAAGCCAAATGATAAAGGTGCAGCTAGTTCTGTTTTGTTGACTATAATAAAATGTGAGAAGAAAGAGATAAATTGAGGGAAGAATTGCTAAACCAAAAGAATTGGGATTTGATAATCTGGAAAATTCTCAGCCTAGCCAGGTTGCAAGAGATGCTTAAATTATGAGACTCACTGTCAGCAAAGTGTGCTCTGTAGAATGAGCAGGAGTGTGGTTGTACAACTTTTTACTATTGCTTCAGAACTAGTGAAAATTCATAGTATCTAGTTACAGAAAAGTTTCTTTGAATAGTTTACTTATGTAGCTCCTAGACCTCAGCCATCTCATTAGAAGCCCCGAATAGATTTTATCTTACAGTTCTGAAAAGTCAGTAATTATAATAGGAAAGCTCTATGGAGGAACCTCTTTTTAATGGAGTGATTCTCCACAACATATGTAGAAGATCTATAAGGTTCTTTAGAATTTTATACCAGCTGAAACCAAGTCATCCATGTCCCATTCTTAGAACCTGTAATCTGTTACTTTACATGGAGAATTTTACACTTGAATTTTATATAGTTTTATTAACCAACATCACCTCAATAAGTTTCATATAATTACAAAAGAGAGACTTTGAGGATGTGATTAAGTTATGAATCTTGAGATGGGGAGATTATCCTGGATTATCCGAGTGGCACCAACCAAATCACATGAGTCCTTAACATCTGAAAACATTTTCTGCAAGGGGTATGTACTCCTGGAATAATGATCAGAGAGACACAGTGATGCTGGCTTGGAAGATGAAGACAGGGGACAATGATCCAAGAAATGTGGGCAGCCTTAAGAGAGAGCTAGAAACGATTTTAAACCAATTATCTTCTACAATTCAAGAAAGGAACAAAGTTCTGTTGACACCTTGAGTTTAACTCAGTGAGATTTGTGTCATATTTCTGGCCTGCATAACTGTAAGATAATAAATTTGCATTGTTTTAAGCCGTGATGTTTATGATAATTTATTACAGTGGAAATGCAGAACTAATACTTTTCTCAAAACAAAATGAAAAGACAATTTCACTTTTATATGGTTAGATTACATCTTTAAAAATAGCAATTTATATTTTTTGAAAATGTTCACGTCTTTATGTTATTTATTATATCTTATAATATCTGAACTTTGTAAATTTGATATGTATCTTTCCAAATTATTTCTATGCATATATAAACACATTTAGTATTCTATCATAAATCTAAATAAGTCTATTCATACTGTTACAGTTCCCTTACTTTAAATAAACATATGCACAAGACATGGTTAAATTTTAACATATTGCCAACTTAACTTTAAAAACTTTTCTTTGAAGATAAAATTTACAATGAAATGTAATAAAATTAAGGGTATCATTTCATGACTTCTGAGAAATGCATTGTCCTGCATAGTCCAAATCCTATCAAGATGCAGAACATGACCATCATTCTGGGAAGACCTTTTTTCTGGTGTTATCCTTATCCCTCATTCATCAGAGGCAATCACTATTCTTATTTTTCATGAAAACTTAATTTAGCTTGCTTTAAAGAGCATATTCTCTTTTAGCATAAGATTTCTTTCCCTGAGCATCATATTTTGAGTTTTATTCACGTTGTTGAATGTATCAGTAGTTGGTTCCTATTTATTTCAGTTAGTGCACATTGTATGAACGTGACAAATTTGTGTATATATTCTCCTATTGATAGACACAAAGAATATTTACAATTTTTCACCAGTATAAGAAAGCTGCAATGAACTTTCTTGTGCAAGGCTTTCTGTGGCTCCATGCCTTCATATATCTTGTATAAATTCCTAGAAATGATAAATGCATCAGTCCCTTTGTCCCTGAAACCCATGTAGGAGTGATGCAGCATACAGGTCGTGCCAAGCCGAGGGCAACGATGTTCAGAAACTGTTCCTATCTCTCAGAAACCCACAGTCTTAGGAGGGAGCGATATAGTCTCTCGCCTTTTCTCCAGCTACCTAACTGCAGCAAAATAGTATAGCTGGAAAGCTCCCTGCTCAATGTGACAGCAGCTCTTTGTTTCGTTGTCATCTAAGAATCGGTGGAGCTGATGACATTGGGAATTAAGACAGTCTGTGTGAAGGCATTCTGGCTGGCTGGGATTTGAGGTGGGAAGTCTACAGTTTTATATCAAAATAGCACTTGAAAGACAGACTTAGTAACTAGAGATTTGTTTAATAAAGTTTCATAAGTACCCCTAAATCTTTATAGGAGTGACCTCAACATGGGTGGAGGGTACACATACAATTGCGAAATGAGACAAAATGAAGAAATCTTCTCTTTCAGAGTCAAGAAAGCTCACAGATGAAAGTGTGGATTTTCACTCTCAAATACTTCCTGTGACCTGTGGTGCAATAAAGGGGATGTTATATCAAAACAAATTGGAACAAGGTGAGTTTTATTGTCTAGTTTAATTTGCAACTCATATGTAAAGGAATCACAAGAAATGATATAATTACCCATGTGAATTATACATTGTCCAAGAAATTACGGCCCTAGTTTGGCATGAGAAAAGGAAGAAGGAATCCTAAGATGACATTTTCACACTTTAAGGAATGGTACATATTGAGCGCTCACCCCCACAGGGAAGTATCGGTGAAGATGCCCAGAGAACCAGAGGTGTGCAGGAACTTCATTCTATGGGTGTAAAATCCTGCTTATTTTACTTTGAATTAGAAATAAAAGAGACGGGCTCTCAGCCTTCACATCCTACATTCTTTTTCGATCACCATCTAGGACAGGGTTCTTGATGTAGTGAGATCACAGAATGAGTCCCAGCTTCAGCTATGCCAAAAGGGACTGATTCATCTGCACGGAAAAGGGGACCTTTCTGAGCCTGAAATTCTCATCTTAAAAAGGGATAATAAAAAAGCTGCCTCATGGAGTAACTGTAAGAATTAACTTACATAATTAATTTAAAATACTTAAATCACTATACTGAGATATAATTATCACTTAGAGTGTCCAATTCTACACTGAATTTTGCTGTACATGCACAGGACTGTACAGTCTTCAGCACAATGTAATTTATGAACATCTCTGTCCCCTACTGAAGGAAACACCGTGTCTATTAGCAGTCAAGGCCAATTCCTATCTCACCCCACCACGCAGCCTCAAGTAAATACTAATCTATTTTTTGCTCAATGAATTGGTGAATCCTAGGTAGTTCAAAGTGAAACCATTCAATATGTGCACTTTTGTGATTGGCTCTTTCACTTAGCTTGATATTTTCAAAGTTCACTCATGCAGTAGTATGTATTAGTTGTTCATCCTTTTTTATTGCCAATAGATATAATATTCCATGAAGTGGATATACCATATTTTGTTTATCCTTCACCAGATTGGGTTGGTTTTTTTTTTCACTCCTTGGAGTTATGAGTAATGCTGTTTTAAATATTTGTGTGAACATATGTTTCATTCTTTTGGGTGTATATTTCCAGGAGTGAACTTGCTGGTTAATATGGTGATTCTGGATTAACTTATTGGGAACCAGCAAATGCTTCCCACAGTGGCTGCACTATTTTATATCACCTCCAGCGATGTATGAAGGCTTCAATTTCTCTACATACTTTCCAACTTTTGTTATTGTCTGACTTTTATTATAGACATCCTAGTAGGTGTGAAGTGGTATCTCATTGTGGTTTAGATTTGCTTTTCCCCCCATGACTAGTGAATGTTTAACATATGATTCTCTTATACATAACTTAAATTTCCCCTGGATAACATTCAAAATTATTTTTAATATCTGCTATCTCTGATTTCAAGGATGGATAAATATATGTTTAATTATGCCATTAAACTGGATGAAAATTGTTGCAATAAAAAGCACAGATGTTGTTACGGTGCCATTCAGAGCTGCTGAGAGCCAACCTGAGATCTCAGTTCAGCGTGCGGTTCTGCCTCCACATTGTCCCAGGGTGTTTTGGAGACCCTGACCAGTTCCCTACCTCCAGCAAATTAAAATCTTTCATCCATCAGAATCACTTGCTTTTTCTTTTAAAAGTTATTTAAAAATACTTTTATAAGGTTGATTTCTATGGTAATTGTTTCTTTTTTGTTATACATATGTCAAAGAAATGTGCACAGAAAGTAGAACTCTCTTTTGAGGGGACTTACAGTTTGAGTTTGGAAATTCTGAAGTCTGAAAGGGGAGGTCAGACTCTCCTACTACTGATCCCAAATTATGTGTCTTGAGCTCAAATTATGTGTCTCCAAATCTGGTGAGGACAGAGACTTCAGGATCAACTTATCCCTCTCTTACAGGATCCACGGTGAAGTGTATACAGGGTGAAGATGGAAGCTGGTTCACCCCTCAGGAATTTGGAGTCAAAGGAGTCTGTTCAGGCTCGAATTACTGGAAGGATGCTGTGCACTGTGGGGGGAGGCGCCTACGATGGCTGATAGAGGTATTCCAATGACTAGGGCAGGAGATGCGACTTTCCTTGTACTCTAAGATAAGATCACTATTTGCTTACCAAATAGTTGTTAAGTTATAGCCAAAGCCCTGAGGACCCCTGGCTTTATCCTCTCACTGGGGAGAGGTGTCCCACACTCATATCTTAGTACAAGGCAGCACCTCAGTGTGGTAAAGGGCTCCATCAGGATAGATGCAGGAGCTTGGAAGACGGAAAGTTCATTCTGACTTGAGTGCTGGCAGACAACATTATACACTGAAAGGAGAAAGTCTAGAGTCAAGCAAGTAGGAAGAAGATGCTCCAGAGAAAGAATGGCATGAAAACCAGAACCACGACGAATGTAGCTCCGAGTGTTGAGGTAGACGGTTGGTGTGTGATACGGCAAAATCCATTCGTTGGGGTTGTTTGTGGAGGGACTTCATGCCAGGCTAAGAAGTTTGAACTCAAAACTTGGACAATGTAGAATCCATGAGGTCTCCTGAGCTGTGAAATGATGTATTAAAAACAGTACTCAGACAGCCACGGGGCCTTGAAATGACTTCAGTCTCTTTCAGCCCAACAAACCCATACTCAACCTGCAATGCTCAGCTCAGCTGTCACTCCTCTCTGAATATGCTCTGACTGACCTGCCCTGGTCATCCCCTCCCTGAGCCCCCTGATCCCACTGCTATGGCCCTTCTCGCACTGTATTATATTCTCCTTCCACGCATTCTCCTTTCCTCTCCAGACCCCTCCAGGGCTTGTCCATCTTTGTGTGCCTGAGGTTGTCTAGAGTGTCTGATCCCCAGGATGTGTGGGATTAGTGTGTGTTGATGAAACAGCCCTGGTGTGAGGATGCATGCTTGAGTGGCACTGGTGGGAATAGAAAGGAGGTGTGAAGTGTCAGATGGTGAGGGAAAACGTCTTAAGACAGGAAAAAAGCACAGGAGCAAGGGAAAAGGTTCTCAGTTGATTTCCCAGGTACCATTAATGAATTCTAGAAGTACAGGTGAGAGAGATGATTTGTTGTTTAGACACCTTGGCTTTGAGCTGACTGTGAGACATCAAAGTAGAATTATTTGGAAGTGAGGTAGAAATATCAATCTCACAAAACGTCAATATAGGCTAACCATATACTTGGATCTTTTTATTATTCAGGAAGGATATCTACCTAATCCTCCAAGAATATATGGCAGGAGAAAACAGGTAATGATGATATAGCTTTCTACATCTTCTGATATAACTGGTTTTTCATGCACTGTATGTTATTTTATGGTTTCTCGATCGGGTAATGATAAGCTCTCACCAACTCTTGTTTTGGAGGGGCACGTGCCTTCAGAGTTGCTACTGCAAACATTCCATTGTATATAAGGCAAAGTCGTTCTTGGATGGTAAATCATTTGAGATGCAGATGATGAAGGAGTCATCAAAATAGGCCTCACGGATACGTTTTTTTCTCATAAAAGTTACTATTTTCTAATTGTATGGAAATTTGTGGTCTCTGGGAGCTGCTGGTGATGCGTCCGGTTGATACTCTCATTGCAGCTCGTCCAGCGGGATGACACTTCCTAATATAGAGAAGAGTGACCGAGGGCCCCCTTGAAATTGGAGAACCGGAGGGGTTTCTCCAACACCATCTGTGGAAATCAGGGCCAGACTCCCAGCCCACCTTGGGTTTGAGAGCCAGGGAATGGGACTACATTGGGCCAAACAGTGGTACTTTGGCACTTTTAACTCTCCTCGTAGATATATAGGTCCATGAAATAAAGGATAGACTGTGAATTGAATTTCTCAAGAGGCGGCTGTTTAAATAAGTGATAGATGCAAACATCACATTCAATATTGTCACTCAATCTTTCTCTCCTTTCAGCAGAGACTACCAAACTCTCATGACAACACTTCCATTGACCTATGTGTAAGTACCAGCTCCCATCTGTAGCCCCAGAATTACCTAGGCCTTTTCCTTTGGTACATTATCTGTGTCATTGCCGTTTTTCCCTGAAGCGTGCTCACACTCAGTTGGAGCATGGCTCTGTGTGTGATGAGCAGAGAACAGCAGATGTCATCCGTGCCAGGTAGATGGTTCTGGGGTTGGGTGTCTCAGCCTGAAAGCACCCTTTCCATTTGTTCAGTGGAAACTTCTCATTTCCACATTAGAGACTTTCCACCACTGGGGTGTCTAGAGATGGGGCCCAAGGTGGTAATAGAGGGGCACATCTGAGAGGAGAGCAGCATATCAAAGGAGGCAGTAGGGAAGGAAAGGAAAATCCTGAACATCCTCTCTGAGGTGCAAGCAGAGCTAAGGTGGTTTTATGCTTTAGCCGGAAGGAATAGGCCAGGCCAAGCTGGCGAGTTCCAGCTGTGAACCCTGTCATGAGTGCTGCAGAGAAATGTAGTCAGGGCAAGTGGGTCCTGTACAGAGGCCCCGCACTCAATCTTGAGAGAGCCATCAGGGTCTGAGCTGGTTAGAACTGAAATCATCACCATTAACAAATTAGCAAATCATGGGCTTTTTTATTGTAATTGATACCATACGGCTTCCTGCTTTAAGATCTGCCAAAATTGTAGAAGCCTCTGCTCTCTAAACTAAATCATACTTTGATTCCTTTCTTTGCAAAAGATGGGCATTTTAAGCAGAGTCATCTTTGCATGACTCCAAGGGGCTGAATTCCATAGTATTTCATGCAGTGACATTGCCACATGACATCTAACAGAGGAGGGGTAGTCAAATCGTTTTACACACACTTTACCCCTAAAGCAATCCCCTGGCAAGATGAAGATCTTATCCACACTAATTTTGACCCTTGGCCAGCTGAGGGAGTCTTCGGTGATCTAAACAGCCTAGAGTCCAGTGTTTCTGTAGCTTGTTTGGGATGGCGGATGTCGACACAGAGGGCCAGGTTGTACAGCTCACAGCCAAGAGTCTGAAAGAAGGAAAAGAAAATTGTTTCAGCAAGAATACCCTCACTTCTGTTAATATCTTTCCCTGGGATGTACATTACAGGCCAGTTCAACATCGACTTATAATATCTCCCAGCCTTAATCCTTAATAAGCAGACTCTGCTCAGAGGAAATTCTGATTTAATCAATGTGTTGTGAGTTGGGCATCGGAATTGTTAAAAGTCCACAGATGCATCTGATACACGAAATTACTCATTCTATTACTTAAAGAAAAATATCAGTGCCTGTGCCCCAACCAGACCAATTAATTCAGAATCTCTGGTTTTGGGGCCAGGACAGTAGTCTTTGATATGCTCTCTTTGGATGACTCTAATGTGCAGCTGGGCAAAGAACCAGAAAGATAAATCTTTTAAAAAGATTATATATGCAAGATTCTTAAACATTGGTTATATCTGTTATTTCCTTGTTCTTCTGAGGAGAGGAGTCATCACTTTTTGGAGAATGATGATGGTAATCTGTGAGTCTCTGCAGTGAGGAAAAGAAAAATAGGCCTCCATGCTAGAACCTCCTAGGTCCCCACTGGGGTTGTAATTCAGGATTCCCAAGACACCGAGTGGGAGTTCCTGGCAAGATGTTCCTTGGGGCTTATACTTCCTCATACATGGCCAGAGAAATGACCAGAATCCCAACTCACTTAATACAAGTGTTTTTACCCCAAAGCCCAGAAACTCAAAATAATTGTTAGTGTTTTTTTTAATCTTTTATTAGTTTCCACACTAAGAAGCTTATTTATTCTTATTTAATTCTCAACATACCACCCCTCCATGAGTCATTTTAGTCATTGTGGTGTGGGGCCAATGCACTTAATACTACCTCAGGACTTTGTTTTATCTGCAAATTAATAAAATTATTCAGATTCCTATGAAGTCATCTTCTTGTTCTGTCGCTAGTCTTTCTGTGTTAGCATCTCTGCGTTTATAGGGAAAACTTTTCTGGTCTGACACACAGCTCCCTCCTCCTGAGCTTCATTGCAGCTCACTATTTCTTCTTCTGAAATCTCTACTTCACACTGACGATTCATAGTTCAGGGAGAAGCATATAAGTGTCCATACAGGTTCTCAAAAGGCTGTGAGTTCTTGATTCCCATAGTGCTGGCCTTCAGGGTCTTGCAGGTGCTATATCATTTTACTTTCCAGCCAAGTAACTCAGATGTGTGTGAGGTGTGCCACAATGGACGAAAGCTGTTCTGCTGTGACACCTGTTCAAGATCCTTTCACAAGAACTGTCACCTGCCACCTGTGAAATCTGAGAGGTTTGTGACATGCAGCCCCTCCCTCCTGATTAGGGACCCTCCCCCGTGCCAGGCATGCTCCCCCAGCAGAGTTCCCACTTGTGTCCTGATGTGAGAAGAGCAGGGTCAGTGGTAAGGGCCCCAGCAGTGCGATCTGGAGAGCTGTTTAAAGATGCTAGCGGCAGGTACGTGGTGTTCTCTGTCCTCTGGGCGGCTGGGGCCGGTGGCTGGCTCCTTTGTCTGCACACTGCTCCTGTCCTTCCCTAGAAATTTTCCAGCTCAGACTCTTATTCGTGGGAGTGGAAATGCCAGTGGTTTGTGTCATGTGCTAACTCAGAAAAGGCAGGAAACCTGGTCTAGTTCCCTCATTTCAGCTCATTCTCAACTGGTTGACGGAAGCCCAAGGCGCCCAGGCATTAAGGCCGTTTCCAACACTCAGGCCTGATGGGCAGGGTCCCTTGTGCTCCCAGCAGCTGAGATGGGGAAAGGAAAGCCCACCACTCACTCTGACACTGCTCTCCCACCCCCTGCACCCCTCCTGCTGCCCTCACTGGGAGGGGTGTCGTCATCTCAGACCCCACATGAGGGGCTTGGCGACTCTGAGAAGTGTCCCCTTCATCCCCTGGCTTGTCCATCAGCAGTTCCTGAAAGGAAAACGGTGGCAACTGTAGGAACGGTGGCTGTTTCCAGGGGCCTGACCATTGCTTACTTATGTCCAACCTCTCAGGGACCTGTGGAGTTGCATCTTCTGCAGGATAAAGGCGTATTCAGCAAGTCAGAAGTGTCACAGGGAATCTGAGGTCCTGACGAGGCAGATGGGGCCTGAGGAGCAGTTGGTGAGTCAGATTCAAGCCCCAAGCCTTGTCCTTTCCATGCACACGTGAGAAGTCAGTCACAGGGTGAGAGGGGCAGGGTGACTGCTTTTCCGAGCCATGTCTCAACCACGCTGAAATCTCACCAGAACTTGTTTGCAGAAAAAATAACTCAGCCATTACAGAACTGTTTCCTAGAGCCATACTTGTTTGGGGAAAATTCCTGAAGTCTGGTATGGTCATGTGTCTGCCTGAGCCTGCACATGGCTCATTCTCTCCAAGCTGCTTTTCATTCACAGCCTCCGTTTGTTTGTTTGTTTGTTTTTTGCAGAAATGTGAATTCCTCCTTGTGAAAGTCTATTGCCATTCAGAGAGCTTGTTTTTTAAGAAAGTTCCATATTATTATTATGTAAGTAATAATATCACACCATGATTACAGGCCACCAGGATGTTCCCTGACCTTGACATGGCACTTGTGGGATTTGTGATCTGAAAGCCATGGGAGTGAGAGTCAGAGCTCCTGTCATCTTTACCTTGTACTTCTGCTAGATTTTACAAAAATCCACAGAAGGCAGACATTGAACTATGCTAGTAATTTTCTGAGTAATTTTTTTTTCATCAGATTAAAGAGGCTTCTCAAAAACTAAAGGAACCTATGTATTTGGACAAAATCAAGAGAAAGCTAAATAAGCAGAGTTACCCCCAGGTGGAGGGGTTCGTGCGGGACATGCGCCTCATCTTTCAGAACCACAGGGCATCAAAGAAGGTAAGTGTCTCTTCCTGCTTCCATTTCCTTTTCTTTTTTCTTTTCTTTTTTTTCATTGTGTCACTCTCAGTTCCTGGTGCTGGGAAATTTTCGTTTCCCTCATCCTCTTACAAGCCTATATAAGTAAGCATTCAGGACGTGCATGATTTTTTGCATTCGAAATTTAAGATCACCATGGATATGCTGATATAAGAGCATTCACACTCATAGAACGTTTTTGTAAGAGGTTTCTTGAGACAAACTGATGCATGCCAGGAAGCAAGATGTCAAGCGCTCTCAAGAAAGACTGTTCTCTAGTTCCTTTCATACATTTGGCACCAAGGGAACTAAGGAAGATTACATGAAGGTGGGAGAGAGTGAGGTGGGTAATCTCTGTGATTGGATTATAGGCTAGTTAACAAGGTCCAGTGCTCTCTTGAGGGTGGTTATGCCTCTGAGGGGTCTGAAAAAGAGGCATTTAAAGATGTGGTAACCTAGATGCACAGAAACAATGAACAGGGCTTATGTAAGCCAAAAATAAACCTTTTACTAAGGAAGTTATGTGCCCGGGGTGTGACCACTCACCATGACCCACCCAATAAGGATCACGCTGTGATCTGATCACCCTGTGAAGTGACTTTCAGACACTGAAGTTTGACAGCTTTATTATAGAGACCCTTTTTCATTCACAGAGAGTGACAGTGAGTCAGACTGTGTCCCTGCAACCAGAACTTCAGGCCCCTGAGAGCTCATTCCTCCCCACAAAGGTGACAGGATCTCATTGAAAACAGTTGAGTTCTCCCTGCTCCAAATCCTGAGAGGAGAGAATTACATCTAAAAGTCATATTGTGCCCCTTTTTGACTATACTCCCCAGATATACCCAATCAAATTTAGGGATCCCTAACTCCAGGTTCTTTACATGCGACTGGATCATATAGTTAACAGGGGTCACCAAAGAGGAATAGAAGTGACAACAGGAAAGGAAGATTGTGGATTATACTTAGATATCCTGTACTATTTGAATTGCTACAAAGAGCATAGATTACTTTTTAAATTCTCACTAAAATGAATAACCCAAACACAACGAGTAAGAATCCCTAAGAATGGTAATGATTTTCTGTCTGGTTTTTAAAAAATAATTTTGTACTTAAAAAGCAGAAGTTATTCTTAGCCACATGAGTTTTTAATCTTAATCTGGTTAATTTATTTAGATGTTTAAGGCAGTCATTCTCAATTGTAATGTGTCTAAATGCTAATAATGAGTGTCATTATTTTTGTCATTCTTTTTATTTTTTCTTTTTTTTTTAGTATGCTGACTTTGGCCAAATGGGACTTAGACTGGAGGCAGAATTTGAGAATAATTTCAAGGAGGTGTTTGCTATTCAGGAAACAAATGAGAACAGTTTCGTGGTGTAGTGGGTGCTGTTGGTACCCGGGAAGGTCCCCTGTAGGGGCTGGATGGCAGTCCGTGACCAGGTGCTTCCAACCTAAGGCGTTTTTGTTTGCAGCATAAGAAACAAAGAATTGAAAAGATCTGGATCTGGAATTTGTTCTGATTTTGTAAATTGAAGACATCTCCTAAGCGTTCATGGAAGATGACTCCAGGAAAACGACCCTCTCCTGAACTTGGGGAAACCCTGGAGGAACAAAAGAGGGAAATTATTCTTGAGAATCTCAACAAGTTTGTTTGTCTGATCTCAAAAGAGGGAGACAGTTTTGTGCTTGCTTTGATTTGTCGAGTCTGTGTCTCGTCTCGTGGAAAGGTGGGGAGGTCACTCAGACCTTGAAGGAGCAGACAACAGAAGGTTGACCTGGCCTAACCCAAAGTAGCTGTTCACCTTATCTCGACCAGACTGAGTGGACCTCACATTCACCCCCTTTAAGGGGCTAATACTCAGGGTCCAAGGTATAGCAGAAAGTGTGGGCCAGTGCTCCCTTCCTATTATCTTGAGCGTTGGGTCTGACTTGTTGCCAGACAAACTTTAGGAGAATACAAGGTTTACCAAATTGCTAGATCTTATAACTGTTTATTCTCTTTATAAAAACTATCTAATCTAGGACTTACTTAACATTAGTCGAGCTAGAAGTGATTAATTAATTGTAACAAGCCTTAATGATATGGGCATTTCCACCTCTCTAGCCCAGTGTAGCCATCCAGGCTGTATCTTCCAGAGCTGGAGATTTAGGAGAACACTGTCCAGAGCATGGGTCTCTAAATGACACTACCATCTTACAGCTAGAACTGTTTCGTAAATGAAGAAAAATAGGATGAGATCTCCTATGTCCAGGCACTTATGTTACTATATCAGAATAGACCTCTATAGAGAAAATGTATAAATTGCTTAGATTCCTTATAAAAGATTCCAGCAAAGCAGAATTTAAAGTACCTAAATGGTTAATTAATATTCTTGCTGGTCTTATGCAAATAATCAGGCCAAGTTTATTGAAATGACTTATTTTGAAAGAAGTTAGTCTTAATTTGGCTATCTTTGGTAAAAATTGGGGTGATTAAAGAGAAAAAAAATTATGTTTCAATAGAAATTATAATATATCTTTGTGAATATTAGATTCTAGTGCTATTCATTTTCTTTTGGGTTTTGTCTTATTTCTACTTATTATTTGGACTGGATCCTGACTTCTAGTTTCCTCTAATATCTGCCTATGACTCTGCAAACATGGTTCCAAGTTTTCTCCTGTCCTTTGACTAGGACTCATTGAGAACTGAAATTGCCTTTTTTCAAACCCATGCTAGCTACAGGTGTGCAACTCAATATAAAACTGAGAAAATTGCCACAATAGCTCGTTTTAAAAACCTCAGTGACTGATGCTGTGTAATCCACGCAGAAGGTTTACCGTGACGCCCAATAACATCATAAGGGACATTTCAAACTACAAAAGATACTTCTAGCCATATATCTAGAAATCTTGACTGACAGCCTTACAAACTCAGAGCCTGGTTTATAATTTGCTCTAATTATTAACCTTTGTTTTCTTCTGTTTTCATAGACATATCTCTTATTAAATACCTGATGTTATGGTATTTAACCTATATAAGTCAGCCGTTTGGCCCATTCTGCTGCTCCAGCTCTAATAGTCCAACAGACCACCTTGAAGTCTTCAGCATGTGGGTCATGGACAATAGGATTGTTTTAAATCACTTGCTGGCAAGACAAGAAATCTCTACAGTAGCTGATACAACTTGCTACACTGACATTAACAGAAACGGAGATTTGGTCAAACTGAAGAAAACACCTTACAGCTGCATACCCATGAAGGCAGAACAACCCTACCAGCATCCCCTTAAAACCAGCCAGAATGATGCCATGACTGACATCAGGATCTGATGCAATGATCGACTGCCTCCTACCCTAGCCCTGACCAATCAGTGGAGCCCACGACCCCAACTCCCTCAGTCACTAATGAATTTTCCCTATGTAGCTTATCCCTCTAGAGGCCACTGGGGAGTCAGATCTTTGAGTGCAAACTCACCTGTATCTCCAGGCTTGGCACATCTCCTTAAATAAATCTCTACTTTCTTTGCTGCCAACTCCTGTACGTGTTTCTTTTGGCTTTGACACTAAAACTAATCCCTCGTGTTTGGTAACACCATTGATAAAAATTTCACCTATAGGAAACTGGATGTGATATAAGAGAAGAGATGTACTGGTTGGTGCAATTGTCTGGTATTTACAAGGAGAAATTGTAACTACAAGGACTGTGGATCTTGGGGGCTATTGCCAAGTGCCACTAATGTGTCAAAAAGAGTAAATGATAGGCTTAAATCTATTAGTCACCACATAAAGCAAAGAGACCGTAATACCTGTAGCTGGAAGGCAGACATTAAGGAAGGCCTGTCACAGGCCCTAATTCTAAGAATGCAGATCTTCAGATCAGAGCCCCAATAAAGAGTGAAGCCCTGAAACTCAGAACATGGCTTTCTAGTGAGATACACTTGCAAATCTAAACTCCAGGTCTCCCTGTACCTACTGGGCCTGCAGAAGTATCCCCTGCCCGTCATTGGAAGACAGACTCCCCCTCCTCCCCTGCCACCACACCTCTGCCCATTTTGCTTGAATGAAGACTGCAAAGTCCTGTCAGTGTGACCCAATGAACAAGTCCTGCCTAGGGCTCCTAGGTGAAGAGAGGGTTTCTATGCAATGGAGCTCCAGGCTGACTGACGTGTATCAGTAGGTACCAGGAGGTTGTGTCTGAGAGTAGATCCTGGGTGATGAATGAAGGGATATGAAATGGGTTAAGGAGAATTATCAGTGCAGGAGAACTGTTCTGTGGCACAGAGGTTAGCCTGGCAAGGGCCAAGGGGATGATTCTAATATGCTCCTGGGTGGCTGTTAGAGGCTTGCTATGAAGCACGGTGCACAGCAGATGAAGTGGAGGTAGAGGTACCAGACCTTACAGATCAGACTGTGGAAAAGGGGATCCAAAGTTCTTCCTAGGAAAGTTGGCATAGGTCTACTCTCTCCAACTAGAACACCCATTCCTCAAGTGCCCGTGTCCTCAGGAGACCTGAGACACTAACTGAACAAGGTGACAAGGAACACACTGCTGTGGGGCCACCAGCATGGAGATTTT